AGTACTTTAAAGTGTATAAATAAGTTACCCGGGCAATTGATTTACATTAGCCAATCAAACGAATGTCTGACCATGACCATGCAATAAAATAGTTATTATATGGGTTTTAAAATAACCAAATTTGCACGGGTTACATTGCCTTCGGCCATGTAACGTTAACCGGTGCAAATTTAGTTATTTTTTACAACCCATACAATAACTATAATTTATCGAATCGAGATCAGATCTTGCTAATTTTCGGCAAGTATATTCTGGGTTACATACTCTGAAAGATATAAAATGGGATTTATTTTCATTTTTATCTCAACATTCAAATTCTTTGACGTTAAAAATGACGGGACGAGTCAGAATATCAACATTCTTTTTATGTTTAATGATTTTTGTTATTTGTCTTTTAAGTTTTTATCAATTAAAATTTTGGAAACAAAGTATACTAAAAGGTAATTATAAATTTATAAATTTTAAATAAACATCTTCTATTCATATATTACCTTGAATATATAAACGAAGGTTTCAGGAATGTTCAAAGTAAGGATTGGGGAATCGGTCAAAAATTATTAATCGATTAGTCAGTCGACTAAAACTGTTAGTAGTCGACTTACTAAAAATCGACTAATCCACAGATCGGTTAATTGAAAATTATATAAAAAATAGTAACCAATTAAATTTTGCATGTTAATTTTTAATTAATTAGTTAGTCAGCTAATCAGATTAGTTGAATAATCTAATTGAGTTGATTAGTCAAATAATTAGTCACATAATTAGTCGACTAGTCGAATAGAAAATAATTTTAAAAATTTGATATATATTTGTAGATAATTATGTTTTTTTTTTTTTCTTTTCTTTTTTAACAAATTTTTGTTTAAAACCATATTAGAGTTAGAGGTCTTCCCACCACAAAATTCCCAAAACTTTTCAAGTCCAGATGGATACCCTTTTACTATCATTACGACAGCTAGCTCTAATCATTGGTGTGAGTTAACACATTGGATAAGGCATATAAATCAAATTAGAACATTATTACCAAAGTATATAAATCTAAGAATAATAATTTACGATTTGGGTTTAACAAAAGAATATAAAGTTGCTCTTGATTTATTAAAATCAGAAAATAAATTTATCGAATTTTGAAATTTCAACTTTTCGAATTATCCAAAATTTTGAAATCTTAACAAAAATCCAAAGTCAAGGGGTTGATATGGTTGGAAAGCTGGAATTCTCAAAGAAATTTCTGCCAAATTTCCTGGACTTCTACTTTGGTCTGATACTGGAACTTATTTTTGTCAAAAGACTTTAGAAAACCTTCCAGAACTTCTTAAATCATTTGATGGTTTGATTTCACCAATTTCTCATGACAAAATGCCTAGATGGACGCATCCAGGTGTTTACAAATATTTTAAAGATGATGGTAAAAAATATGATAACGTTACTAATTGTAGTACTGGAGCAGTGTTTTTGGATACCAATAAAACTCAACACATCATTGATAAATTATATAAATGTGCTCTTAAAAAAAATGTATAGCACCACAAAGAAGTAGTAGGAAAAACCATCGACAAGAACAAGCTATATTTACCTATTTTGTTACAAATGACAACAGAAAATGCAACATGGATGCAATGGATTTGGATATAGTTTATCATGAATTTGATCGCTTATGTGATGGCGAAAATTATATTGAACAACTCGTTAAACCCTTAAATCAATCATAATGTAATAATAGTTTTTAACATTGCTTAATATATATATAGTTATATTTCACTAATTTCACTAGAAAATAAACTTCCATCATTAAGAATAATCAAAAAGACTTATTCTACATAAACATTTGTTATTATATCGTACAAAAAAAAAGAATTAATCCATTACTCTATTTTTAGAAAACATTTAATGATCTATATATTAGGGAAAATTATAACAATAAGGGTTGTCTTCTGTTTAAATTTCATTAGTCAAAATTATTTTCATTTCAATTTCAATTTATTTAATAAATTATAATTTCTCAAGGTAATCCTTTCTCATTTCATTATTATCATTATTAACAGAATTTTACATCATGCTAAAAAAAAAAGTCAATTAAAAATGTTCAATTATACTGTACATACTACATTTATAGCAAATAAATCTTCGTTGCAAACATTATTTTTGAAAAACTATTGCCTATGATGCACCACAATCTATACCTTTGGTATCATTTCCGATTATCGATCATTAATTCTATTTAACCACATGATTATTACTTGTGACTAAATTAAAAAGACAAGCATATAAACAACATTCATATTGACTCTAACGTTACGAAACGTAACTCTGAATTAAAGAGATAAATGATTTCCAAAATATATTTATTACTACGAGCTTTATACTTTAATTGGTAAACGATAAATGTAATTTCAACAAATACCTTTTTAAAAAAATTTTCTACATTCCGCACTTGTAAAAATAAAAAAAAAATCATCCTATTATTCAAAATTTTAGCAGCCATTTACTACTCATTATGAATCGTTATATAATGAGGTTGTCTTTATTATCACTAATTTTATTGAAATATAAAAAATCATATTCCAATTTTTGATTTGAATTAAATTTGAAGATCAATTGACCTGTATTATCTTATGGCGCTTTGCAAAAAAATGTGAACCTGATGATTGTTATAATGATGGATAAGGGAAATTTCTGAGATTCTAAATTATCCATTGATCGGTTATATTTTATAACGTATCTCTATATTTGAAAATCTATAAAATTCTTTTAGAGGCTACCTTTTTACAAACCGCAATAATTCTAATTAAGTTTTATTTAAGAAAATATTACTCAAAACATTCGATTCAGTTCTTGGATCATTATTATAAAGTAAGATTGTTGTATAATTGCACAAAAGATTTCTTTTAGTTTGTTAATTTAATCTTACCTAATTTCCTTGATGCTAGATTTTTATAGAAACCTCCGTTAATGGCTTTTCTACTTCTCCAAATAATGGTTGCTACGTATAGGTTTGATCATAATTTTCTCTTTTAGAAGGATCTAATGAAATTAGGCATTGTTCATATAAAGGGTCTTTACGCCTTATCCCACGTAATTATTACTAATATTTAAAATAGTTAAAGTTTTGTTTATACAAAGCGCCTCTGCTAATGCTTCTGCATCTTTAAAACCAATTGGATTACGATAAAGATCTAAATCAGTTAAAGTGGTGTTTACACAGAGTGCATTGCTAATTCTTTTGCCCATCTAGAATTAAAATATTATTTTTACAAAGAGCATCTGATATTTTTTTTACTTCTTTAAAGTCAAGACGATTATCACCAATATTTAACACAGACCTTTTGCAGTATAGATGATACCTCTGCAAATTTAGAAACACCCAAATTATCTGCAGCTTAATCGAATTTTTATAAGTAACACAAATTTGAGTTCGAATTAGTTTCAGGGATTTTTCAAATCCATGTAACTCAAATAATCTTTTTTGCAAAAAAAAGTCATGTTTAGAAAATTCCTAATCATTCAATCATCATTTGCTTGTTTATTTGGCCTACAACTGTATTTTAAAGCCTTAGGAGCCCTGTATGTAACCTAATCTTTGCAGAAATTGTTTTGAAGATTTTTAAAATAGGCTTTATTTTCAATAATAAAAATTACTATTAAACTGATTCTGGAATAAAGTTGCAGATCAATTTTCATTTCAGGTAAGACAATCCAAAGCTTCTCTGAAATATGTAAATCTAATAAAATCTAACCCTATATATCAAAAAAAATTGCTCGTATCAATATTTTGCGATAGGTTTCTAATCCTATTTTAGTTTAACTTCGATTACTTATTTATTATGTAGCAGGATTGGTTTGTATATGATCAACAACCTTTTCAAGCTCATTTTGGTGTAAACAAGTTATTTGAGAAATAAACCATTTTGTGTAAATGGCTTTGGTAGAATTCGCCAACAATCTCTAGCAAACACTAACTATAAAGCAGGCTAACCGTAACTAAATCAGGCCAAAATTTGTCGGTGAAATGATGTCAGGAAGTAACCATTTTGAGCAATGTCGATTTCTGCACCAGACAGTTAACTCAGTGATCGACATAAACAATCATGACATTATATATTTACCAGAATTAAACAGGCTGGCCTAAACTATAACTCTAAACTAACCCTAGCCTAGGCCAAATGATTGTCATGTGATATTATAATGATCACTGAGTTAACTGTTCTTCAATCTACCCAATTTAACAGCACGATTCTTACAAAATCTTATTCTTGATTTTCAGGGGTAGTTTGAGCCATTTTTATTGCAAAAAAATATTTTCTTAATGAGATTTATTATAAAAATTTTTAAATTGAATTGTTTCGTAAGGTGCAACTAATAAATTTAACCAGTTTTGGTAATAGGCAATTGAATTCATAAATTGTTCAACTGTAGTTTAAGCGATAGTTTTAAAAACTTGGATTTTCACAAAAGTTGTAACACAAATTTTTATTACTAATCAAAGCCATTTTTAATTTATCACTAGTAGAAAGTGTTTTTATTTCATTAATTCTATATTCCTGGAAGATGTTTCACTTTTTCTAATTTTTTATCTTGTTCTCCAATTTCAGACTATATACTATAAAATTTGATTCAATAGGTTTTAATTCATTTTTCTTTGTTATAAAAAACATTGTACATTGCTCAAAAGACTCTTATAAGTAATGCATATACCATACGCAGGATACATAGCATAAAGAACTTTCGAATCCAATAATTTCCAGAATAAACATTATACAGTCGAACTTCTATAATTGCACCCCCTCAGGACCATAGGACATATTTTTAAAAATGTTCATTTAGAGAGGGTGTGCATTTATAGAGGGTATTTTTACTATATTTTTATATATTTGGAACCATGCCAGGGCGTCCATTTAGAGAGAATTTATATATGGGTGCAATTATAGAGGGTGCAATTATGGAGGTTCGACTGTACAAGTATTTGTATAGTGTAGTATACCAGAATTTTTGTGTTTAAATGAACATTAAAAAACCATCATCAATGCAACATTTTACTGACAAATAATTTTTCAGCATCTCTTCAATAAAACAAGTTGAATTACACAATAAAAGGTATAATTGGAGTACTTTTACCATGTGGTAGAAGGTAACAAAAATATATTGTACTGCTTAATTAATTTACTGTACCATCAATTTTTTATTGTTTATAGTTTTTTCCTCTTTATTATTCAAATAATTAGCTTGTTGATTTATACAATGAATGATTGAACGGTCATTTCTTCAGTATATTAGAAGCAGAAGTACAACAAAAAAAATCTTAGAAGGGCTGAAAAACCAATGTATACACTATTTTGCCTTCCAAGCTTTTTAAAACTTTTCTTTTCCAAGTATTTCAGCCTGTCTTTAATATTCAATAATTTGTTTTTGTTTTTTTTTTTTGCCGAATTTTTTTTTTTACCAAGATGATGAAAATTATAACCAATGATTGTCAAAGACTGAAATAAAAAACAAAGATTTTAGCGAAAGATAATTTAATGGTCATTTCCAAGTCTATTTTTGATCATCAGACTAATGATGCAATTGAAAATAGAGTTTCAATCCAGATAAATATGTCATCCATTTATCTATATCTGAATTTTTGGATAATCCATATCAGATAAACAGATAATAATAATATCAATAGTAAACGGATATCCGATAAATTTGGATCAGATACTTTGGATAATGGATTACGGATATCTAATGGATCTATAGATAAATAGATAATGGGTAGGAACACAATTGAAAATATATAATGTTAAGAATTTGCCTTTACGATGAATATCAATATACATAATCAAAAGTTTTCTGTTCTTTATACATATAATTTATCAATAATTTGATTTAATACGTATTGGTTTTGGCCACCTATTTTGAACAGATTACAAAATTGAACATAGCAACAATCAAATTTGAACATAATTACAATTAATTTTGGACATGATAACGATCAAATTTGAACATTAATAATAATCAAATTAGACATGATTAAATCATAATATCTTATTATATAGTAATCTAAATTATTTATTATATTAAATTTTGATTATTCAATATTCAAGTTTGATCAACATGTTGTTCAAATTTGATTGTTTTAATGTTTAAATATGATTACTAATTTATTTAAAATAAATAGCAAAAATTGACAAGATTACTTCTGGTTATAATTTTCAAGTTCTGATTAAAAATCTCTTGTCAGAAAAAAGCAAATTGAAGATGTTCTTAAACATCTCCTTTAATGTAATTGGCTAGTAATCAATTTGTGTATAAGCATTACAATTAATTAATTTCAATTTTGTGTACAAGCATTTCAATTAATTAATTAGTCTTCATGGCAATTTTGCTAAAGCTTTATAGTGCAAAATATGAATATTAAATTTTAGACAATTAGCACAACTATATAATAAAAAAGTTAGCTTTGACTATCTTTTTTTAATACTATAATAAATTTACTTAATTAGTCAAACCATTTTTTTTATTAATTAAACATTAAGTTAATTTAGATACTTAAAAGCATTATAAGTCATTCAAAAATTTTACATATTAGAAAAAAATTTATACTAATTCTAAAACAATATTTATATATAATATTATTTATTGTTGATTTCAAATTGGTAAAAATTAATAAATAATATATAATATAAGGCCATACAAACATATATTTTCAGTTTTCATATCCCGGCTGGGAATC